CCAGCCAATAACAGTCAACATAAGCACATCTGTTGCTTAGGAACTTCAAAAATTATGCTGTTCTTGTCAAAAGAAATAGTCACTTTCAATTTACGTAATAAATCTAGGGTTTGGGTTTACTTATTTATTTTTGGATTTCTATCAAAGTCCATGATTATCATTTAACCTGCCCTATCCTTGAGGCACAACAGGGACCACTGAATAAGTAGCTCCCAGACAATCAAATTCTCGTCCCCCCCCCCACTTCCTCTGTCACCATCTGCAACTTTCCGGAACCCCTTCTAGCAGCCCTTCTTTCCTTCAACTTGAGGCATTCCTTCTTCCAATGGTCTTACCTGTAACTGTTGTTCATCAAGGTGTCTTTGGTGCAGGCATGCATTCCCTCCCTCCTACCCCACTGTGAGTTTATAGGATGCAGGCAGCTCAGGAGGACTGAGGGAAAGGGGGGGGGCTCCTCCCTGCAGAGTATGTGACCGTCAGGCGGGAAGACAGCCTTTAATGAGCTCTGCAGGGGAAAGGCTCCCCTTGGAGTGTTACTCTGGTTCCAACAAGAGTAGTTGGAAGAGAACCTCTGGAGGCTGGCCTGTGCAAGCCAATGTGCGCCTGCACAGAAGACACCTCAATGAACAACAGGTACAGGTAAGTGCAACACTGTTTAACTTTCTAAATGCTGAACTTCATTAGCATTGTGGTCACTGTTCCTAACTGGTGTAACAACCTCTACATCTCTCACAAGGTCTTGAGACCCACTCAGAACCAAGTCCAAGATCACTACCCCTCTGGTTGGCTCTGAGACAAACTGTTCCAGTGCAGTCATTTATATGATGTCTCGGACTCTCATTTCTATGGCATGACTTGAGCACATATTTACCCAGTCAATGTGAAGGCAGTTGAAGTCTCCCTGTATAACAACATTATCTGCTTTAGTCACCTCCCTTATTTATTTCTTCATCTCAAGATCAGCCTCAAGGGTTTGATCAGGTGGGCAATAGTACACCCCCATTTTAAAGTAACTCTTAGGGCCCAGTATTTCCACCCATATGACTTCTACTGGAGAGTTCATTCCCCTGAAGTTTTCTATTTTATTTGATTCTGTGCACTCTTTGATGTACAATGCAACACCACCAACAACCCATCCCTCCCAGTCCTGCCTATAGAGCTTATACCCAGGAATGACTGTATCCCATAGATTTCCCCTGTTCTACCATGTTTCTGAGATGCCTACTATATCTAAATTGTTATTGAACAACAAACACTCCTGCCACAAACACTGTAACCTCTCCAGGTCACCAGGTTTGGTTTCAAGATTTCAACACAATTACAAAAAATACTTGAGAGAGTCTAAACTCCACAAGCTCAGGGTAGTCTGCCACCAGATCTTTTAACGGTTCCCAACAGTCCAGGAGCAAAAGACCAAATCTCCCGTCTGGCTCTGGAACTTAATACATGAAGTCAGCTTTGCAGGTTGTGACTGCAGTCTGAGTTCAGAACAAGACAAGTAACTTGTTTGCTGGTAGTGGTCAAGAGTCTAAGACAACAGGGTTTAGGCTTTGAGATTTGTTAAAGACATATACCACAACACAATTAAAATATATTTTAGTTTATTTAGGTGCAAGTATATTAAAACAGGACAAGACTGTGAAGGTTGAAAATAACAAAAGCTTTGCTTATCCAGCACTTACTAAAACAGAATACATAGTCTCAAAGTTACCTTTCCAAGGTTTCAGAGATGCAGAGGTTCAGCATGCAAGATGTTCAATCCTTAGCCCATCCAGGCAAAGTCAGAATGGAATGCCATACTGGTACTGAGCTACTGGCCCACGCTAGGTTCAGTAGCCACAGACAACCTCCTCATAACTGAACTGGATCTTATTTTATAGAAAACTGGTCTCTCAAAGGGTCAGGCCTATACCCAATGAGAGGCCAGGAAAGTGATGTCAGTCCCCTAAGTTGCTAGGCAAGGGGCATCCCATAATGATATTTACATTCCATAATAATATCCATCCCATAATACTAAGAGCAGAGGGGATCAGAGAGCCATTCTGCAGTTATGGCCTCTGATACCTCTACACACAGGTGTTGCTAGGTCAATCAGTAGGAATGTGCCTAATTGGTTGGTAACAGGCTGGTACAGCTCTCTTATCAGTCACAGCTGCAAGCAATTTCACAAGGTCACTGTGTGCCTCTTCGTGCTATCTCTGGAGAGACTTTCTGTCTCTGGGCAAGTTTTATGACAGGCCTCGAAGGAAGCCTGAATCAGAGATTTCAAACAGACATTGGCATTAAGAAAGCATTTTTGTTTACAACTCCAGTTTCCCCATCTTGGCTTGGAGCTTTCAAGCACTGGCATATCCCTCTCCAGTAACCCTCACCTCCCTTGACACCTCAGTCACCACACATGGCCCTCAGTAACCATCGTGCCCTCACTTCCAAGTTCTATTATGCTCCTATCAATATTACCCTGAGTGTTTGCACAATCATCCCTTTGGACTGACTTATGCCGAACTGGAGACTCCCCAGCTTCTGTCGGCTTTCCCACTGTGATTTCTTTAAAAGCTGATGTGACACCTTTTTTTATATTAGTTGCCAGCAGCCAGGTTCCATTTTGGTTCAAGTGAAGCCCATCTCTTTTGTACAGGTTTGGCTTGCCCAGAAAGTTCCACAGTGCCGAACAAATCTAAACCCTTCCTCCCAGCACCATTTTCTCATCCATGCATTGAGAACCCTGATCTGTTTCTATCTAGCTGGCCCTGCATATGGAACCAACAGCACTTCTGAGAATGCTACCTTTGAGGTCTTGGCCTTTAACCTTCTGCCTAGTAACCCAAATTTTTCCTCCAGCACACATTTTCCAGTGTCATTGGTGCCAACATGCACCATGACTGCTGACTCCTCCCCAGCACTATCTATTTAGACAGTTTGTGATGTCCTCAACCTTTGCACCAGGCAAACAAGTCACCATGTGGTCAAAATGCCCATCACAGACCCCATTCTTTATGTTCCTAATGATGGAATCACCCACTACCAGAAGCCCACCTCCCCCAAGCGCCACAGAGTATCCGCAGTATGAGGATATTGGTTCATTGCCCAAAGGTGTCCCTTCTAAGGGATCACATCCCTCATCCTCAGACTGACACCCTCCAACCTCAACACTCTCCACAACAGTAGAAAAACTGTCAGCACAGGAGTGGGACTGGTGTCCCTGAGGGTCTCTTCTCCAAACCTCTCTCTCTTCCTCAGCTTCTCCAGGTCGGCAACACTAGCCTCAAGGGAACAAGACTGCTCCCTGAGAGCCACAAGCTCCGAGCAGTGAGTACACACCCATGATTTCCACCCAGTGTGTTGATATTAATATATTTCGACTTCCGCAAAACACCTGATAACCCCCGCTTCCCTGCTGGCTTTCTACCTTCATAACTGATTAGTGCCTTCCTTCATAACTGATTAGTGCCTGCTCAGCCACGTCCTGCTAAGTCAGCAGGGCCAGCTAGACTGGGAGAGTCCCAGGGAACAAGCCCCTCCCCCGCCTGGATCAAGCGACAACGCCAACCCGGCTTGAGGAGGAGCTTATCCCAGATGTAAAGGACTGTCCCACTCACTGAGCCACCGAAGAAAGAACTGTTTTAAATTTAGAACAAAGTGTGATTCCAGTGGCACCTTTAAGATCAACAAAGTTTTATTCACGGTATCAGCTTTCATGTGCATACACATATCTTCAGGTATACTGAAGTGTGCTTGCCATGAAAACTTATATCTGGAATAAAACTTACTTGAAAATTGTGCATGGACATATTTTAAGATCTTTGCAAACCTTTTACAGATGCTAATCTGTAGACCAGCCACCATTGTTGGGATTTTTTTGTTTCTCTTTAGGGGCTTGATTTATAGTATATTTTAAAGACTATTTAAAAAAAATTAATGGCCAGTAGCCACAAGTGGCAAACAACAAGAAGTGGCCAGTACCCAGGAGTCCACAATAGCTATGAATTCTCAACAGCCACAACAGGCAAGTGGTCACAATTGGCAGTAGCCAGGTGTAGCCACTACCTAGGAGCAGCCCAGTAGCCAGGAAAGAACAGTAGCAACATGGGGCCAGTTTACAGCAGTCAACAGTAGACAGAAAAGGCCAGCAGCCAGACATGGCCAGTATCCACAAGTGGTCAGTAGCAAGGAAGGGGAAGGTGGGACTTCTTTGAAGCTTTTGATACCATCGATTATTGTATCTTTCTGGATTGCCTTTCAGAACTGGGAGGCACTATTCTGCAATTGTACCTCAAGGGTAGGTTTTAGATTGTGCTGTTGGGGGGTCTGCTGCTTTGCCCCTGGGCCTCTGGCCAAGGTTCCATCTTGTCCCCCATGCTTTTCAACATCTGTGTAAAGCCACTGGGAGAGGTCATGCGGTGGGGTTTCGCCTTGAGTTTGCAGCTAGCTGTCTTGACCAATGGTATGTTTTGGGAAGGTGGTTGATAAAATTTAAAATAAAAAATGCTACATATAATCTGCATATTTATATGAAAAGTAAATCCCTCAATTATATGTAGCCAAACCCACCAATGCTGTTAAAACAACCTGAGTGCTCAACAGTTGGAAAAATGGTTTGGATCCTGTGGAGGAGGTTCTGTGAATTGTGGAGGTGGTGGTGGTATTTTCACCAATCCCTCCAATGATGTTCCCAGGAGTACCCTACCGGAAGAATTTTAGGCTGCTGCAGGAGGAAGCAGTCAGCAGAAGGGTTCTGCGAGACTGAAGTAAATGTCGTGAAAGCAGACTCATTAGATGATTCACTCACTTTTCAAACAGAAAAATAATAAGAGTAGATTTGGGCCAAGAACATTTTCAACTACACCTAGTCCAAATCCTTCTCATATCTTTATCTACAAGTGTAGATTATTATGCTGAGTCAGAGTGGGCTTTTTCTAGTCAAAGATCAAACAAAAAATCTCAATTTTTTCCAAAATATCAAGAATGCATCACACCACTAGGCACAATTCTTTTCTGCAGTTTTCTTTATTGACGTTAATCCATCATACATATTTATATTTAAGTGAAAGCCTCTTTGATACAGTTATGCCAATACTTGAATTCAGCAGCTCCTGTTGGGACAATGCTGTGAAATCACTGGCATTACAGGAATCTTATTCCAGCTCCAAACTGAATTCCATCACATATCCTAGAAGAATGAAAGAAATGGACAGACTTAATTCTGTTTCTATGATGATTTCATTTGAAAAGTAATTTACAATTCATTGTGCAAACACTTTTAGATAACTTGCACTTAGTTTTCTGGGTCTCCTACCGCTAAACAAAGATTATTGATTAAATCTCTCTCCTCCATTAAAGTTGAATGAAACAATATTCTACTATAATATGCTGATAATACATAGTTCTGTGGCTGGTAGCCAGGTGTGACCAGTAGCCACATGACTTGTTTTATACACTCATTAAACTTTCACCCATTCTAAACTATAATAATGCAGGTCCTAATTTTGATGAAGTCTTAAATGGAGTGTTCGTTAGACTAGACAATAAAATTAAAGCTTTTCTCAACTCTCAGAAATTAATGGAATTGAGAAACCATATGAACTCACTTAACTCAGATATTTTTGATATCATTGGAAATATTATTTCCTTGTTGAATCCTTATCTTACCACAGTTACATAAACTAACCACGGCCATATAAGAAAGACTCAGTTTGACCAGGATTGGAGACCCATGAGGCAAATCTTATGTACACTGATAGCCAAGTCTGATAATTCAGTTCAACTACTGTCCCGTTCCCAATATAAGCAGCTCTTGAAGAGGAAAAAACCCTCATATTGCAGATCACAGTGGGAAGCTTTGGATCTCTCCATCATACTAAAAATGATAAGAGGTTTTGGGAATTGATAGCTTTAGGCACTCAAGTTAGTAATTTTAACACTAATGCACTTATTCCAGCCAAAATGTGGTTTTGACATTTTTTTACTCTCTACAGTAACACCCAAACTGACTCATTTTCTGAGTATCCAGTTACGGATTTGGATGCTCTTCCAACCTGGGTTCCAATTTCAGCCTCAGAACATAATCAGCTGATTGGCATCTTGCCCTTAGGTAAAGCTCCTGGGAAGATTTGGTGCCCCCTGAGATATTTAAGCTGAATGCTCACTGGTGTTACCCAATTTTAGTTAGACTTTTCTTGGAAAATTGATTATACCTGTACTATTCCCTCCAATTGGAAACAAAGTATAATAATTCCTATTATAAAAAAGGCAACAGGCAGGACCCTGCTAATTATTACCCTATCAGTCTTTTGGATATTTCCACTAAATTATATACATATCTCTTATTCAAATTGGAAGATTGGGCACATTAACCAAACCTTTTCAATCCTGAACAAGCAGGTTTCCGTAAGGGTCATAGTACAGTTGATCACTGTTTGACACTGAAGGCCCTGATTCAGAAATATACCAAAAATTTAGAAGATGCCTCTATGTGACTTTTGTTGACCTCACTTCAGCCTTTGAATCCATTGAGTGATCAGGACTATGGGGCAAACTTGATAAAACAAACACTGATAGAAGGTTTTTTTAGGATACGGAGGGAACTATATTCCAACCTCACAGTCAGGGTAAGAGTGGGTTCACATGGCTCTCTTACGGACCCTATCCCATTAAGAAAGGGTGTATAACAAGGTTGTTTGTTGGCCCCCTTTCTGTTTAATTTTTATATCAATGATTTTGTCCAGGCCATGGAATCCCAGAACTCTGCCCCCCCCCCAAGGCTGGTTAGAAAATGTCAGTCCTGCTATATGCAAATGATATGGCAATCATATCTTTTACCAAAATTGGGCTCAGAAGGATGCTAGTTAGGCTGGCTGATTACTGTGATAGAGAGGAATTAAGAATTATTTATAATAAAACAAAAATTGTAGTCTTTGGTAATAACAGATTCAAGCACAGATGGACTATTAATGCTCATAAAATAGAACAATGTCCCTTCTTTAAATATCTAGGCATAGTATTGCATGGGTCTTTGTCTTGGCAGGCACATCTTGATGCCATTTGATGAACTGTCCACCGTACACGGGAAGCTATTTTAATATTTTTATTTTCAAAGGGTGGCCAGCCAATAGCCCCGGCCCTTAAAGTACTCCAGGGCAAAGTTTTCATGCAGCTTTTGTCTGGGGCTGAAATATGGTGTTGGAACAAGATAATACTCAACCAGCTTGAAACCATTCAAAACAACTTCTTAAGAAAAATGTTGTGTTTCCCTCAGGGAATTCCTGCTGCACACTTACGATTAGGACTACCCTTTATTACAACAATAGTCACTTGAAAACTATTAAAATACTATGAGAAACTTAACAGTATTTCTGAAGACCATTTGGTGAAATATTGTTTTTGGTACTACAGGGAAGGGAATCAGTGGTCCGATTTGCTGTCCCCTGTTCTGCAGTTATACTCCTTGCCCTCTTTAGCAGCTATAATGCTTTGGGACGCAAGCAAAATTTGTAATTGTTTTTTTGAAAAAGATGCCCTTTGTGATATCAGTATGGTCCAACAATCCAAATTCTCTCTGTGGTATCCTTGGATTAAAAAAAAAATCTCATTACTTAGCTGACCTCTATAATGGTACATTAAGAAAGGCATTTACTACTGCACATTTTCAAACTACGCCTTCTAAGTATCTAAAGGGCAGATTTCAAAAAAAGCCTCTGCTCTTGTGGTCTTAATCAGGTGGAAGATATTGCACACTGTGCTCTACATTGCATTTCTTACTATCTTAGTCTTAAACTTTTAAAGTTTTATCTGGTTATGTAAAAATGTTTTAACCCTTCTGTTGTGGAGGACACATTGTTTTATGTAGGTGAATATGCTGAGATGTTTTGGCCTGTGGCTACAACAATAACAATAAACTTCACAAGTGACCAGTAGCCAAGAATGGCCAGTAACTATGAGTAGCCAAGAGAGGGCAATATAAACAAGTAGCCAGCATCCACCAGTCAACTGTAGCTACAAGTGGCCAGCACCCAGGCATTGCAAGTGGCAAGTAGCTACAAATGGCAAGAAGGAAGGAGTCGTAAGTAGCCATGAGTATCCAGTAGCCATTAAGTGGTTGGTAGCCATAAGTTGCCAGTAGCTACAAATGGTCAGTAGCCAAGAGAGGCCAGCAACAATAAGTGGCTAGTATCCAAGTGTCAAAACTGGCCAGTAGCCAGGAATGGCCAGTAGCCACAAGCAGTCACAGTGTTTTTTTCCTATTTACCTTTAAACATTCTACCAACTTAAATGCTATATTAGTACATAGTAAGGTTAAGTCTGGTCCAAATGCAGACTTTGGTTTTAGGAGCACAGCCTCCTAAAGGTAACGTTCCATGTGACAATTGTAGTGTTTGTGCTAACTGTATGAAGATGAACAAGTTTCAGAATTCTCGTAATAAAGCTTCTTTATTAACTCCTTTGTGTATTATAATTTGAGAAAACTGGTTGATGCCATCAAATGTCCATGTAACCTAATACTGAGAGTGTTTGATATTGTGAAGGCCTATGGCCACATACAATAAAGTGATTCTGATGTAACCTAATATATATATAGGTATGATGTCCAGGTAAATCAAAACAAGAATCTCTGAACATAAGAGATAGGTTTGAATGCCTCTAGTGAAACATTTATTGGCCCCGAAGAATATGGATGAGCAATTAAGATTCTGGGTGACGGGAAAAGTGTCTGCTCCCACACTCCAGCTGGATCAGATTCTAGAAAGGGAAACATTTTGGATCTTGACTTACAAACTTTGGTGTCTCAAGGCTTGAATGAGGAAACTGATCGGCTGTCAGCAGACTGAACATTTTATTTGCATGCCTTTGTATGTTTAAATTGTTTTTTTGCTGTGGGGTTTACTTTAAGAGCTTGTTAATGACCAATGGAGGGCAGACTTGTTTAGCAGCTTCTCCAAGGTGTAGGCTGTATAGTTTTGGACTGAGGGGATGTATTTATCTTGTGGTGGGTATGATGCCTCTTGAGTTATTTCACAGGAAGAGACTCCCACATGTACATTGATGCTCTTAACTAAACCAGGTGAGATCGGCATGTGTGTGTTTTTCTGTGTAACTGTATATATATGTTAATTTGTTATTGTAATTTTATTTATTCATTTTCTAGAGATACTCAGAAGTAGAAATATTTGAAGCCCAATTTTATAAGATGAGTATATAATTCACTCCAATTACGTATACTTTTTAAAAACAATCTGAAAAAAACATCATAGCACCAGACCTGTCTCCACTTTGCACCCCCATGGGGATACAATAGTTGAGTTCTAACCGAGCAATGTTTCCAAGCCTGAGAACTATTCCAGCACCGTAAGACCACCGAATACATTCTGCCAGCCTACGAATATGGGCTTTAGGACCTTCTCCTGAGAAAGGAAATAAAGCCAATGAGAATACAAGTAAAAGACATATTCAGACCAGTGAGTAGCTCAACTTTTTGTTTCGGTACAGGGAAAAGTATTTCATATATCCCTCTTCAAACACATAATTCAACCCTACTTAGGAGCATGCCTACAAGGTTTTGGTATACCTTAGGATTTTGCAGGAGAAACTCAAATGCCTTACTAAAGAACTGTGGGTTTTTATGTGCTTGATTCTTACCATAGTTAAGGTTGCAAAGGTTACCAGCATTAAGGAAAAAATGTGTTCGAAAGAGATCTCCAAATCCTCCACGGCCAGGACGAAAAGGGAGAGGTGTATACAAATGTAGGCCACCAGCCCAGTAAGCTTCACCTCCAAGGTAATCACCTAGAAAAGTAAGCAATAGAAAACATCATCTAGAGAAACAAAGGCCCAGGGGGAATAGGGGTGGTGGTTCCTGTCTGAATTTCATGCAAAGAACTACAACTTCTCTGCATCCCTCTCCTACTGCAGACAAACTCCCCATCATGCTCCTCCTGGGAGACGAGGGACTCCTAGGAGCAACATGAGATGGGAGTTGGAGGACTGCTGTTGAAGGGGGAGTAATTGGAAAAAATTGCCCGTCTTTTCCGTAGGATCCAACCCCAATTTTTCCCCCTTGAGCCCCCCCCATTTTTCCAAAGTCCCCCCCCCATGGTTTCAAAATACTTGGAAATTTACATCACATTCTTAGTATGAACTATTTCACACAATACAAGGCAAGCACTCAAGCACTGTTAACCTACTATACATTTCCAAAATTGCTTCCACAATCAGAAACAACATTGCCTCTTGGCATCTATAGCCAGTGAGTAGGAAACCAACCCAAAAGGCAGCATAATATATTCTGTGATAAAGCCATCAACTACCTTGAGCCAGCAGTGTTCTTAAACACAGCTAAGATCAAAAGTCTACAAATACCTAGCCCTCTGTGAGGTAATTAGAGTTCAGTCAGATTTCTGGGGACACGCAACTAGAGCAAGCAAACAGGGCAAGTGAACAAGGATTTTGCAAAGTATTGGTGCCAACGAAGGGGAGGGGGATCATATGGTCATTAGACTCAGTCAACTATTGCCTGAGGCATGGGGGCCCCAACTGGGTCATCAGGCTCTTTGTAAGAAGTCACTCAGGTTCCTGGGAGTGACAGTGGAATTTTCTGTGGGAGTTCGGCGAATTTGAGGGAGACTCCAGGCTAAAAGCAAGAAACAGCCCTAGTGGCCCTCTGCATTATCCTTCTTAGTATGGGATATGAGTAGTTTCAGGTAAAAAAAACATTCATAGCCTTAATAGCTTCAAACAATAAAACCACAAATGAATACAGAAAGTCAGAAGCAGGTTGGGGGGGCCATGCAGTGTTTTAGAAAGAGTCCTGCATGAATGCCTGCTGGACCGAAGTTGTATGTACTCAGTGCAAGCAGCTCTGCTCTCAAAGAATAGGCTCATTCCCTCAAGGTTAGGCTTAAGGTAAAGGTAAAGGTTCCCTTGCTCGAAAGCCAGTCGAATCCAACTCTAGGGTTGCGGTGCTCATCTCCGTTTCAAAGCCGAAGAGCCAGCGCTGTCCGAAGACGTTTCTGTGGTCATGTGGCCGGCATGACTAAACACCAAGGTGCACGGAACGCTGTTACCTTCCCACCGAAGTGGTACCTATTTATCTACTTGCAATTTCTTGCTTTCAAACTGCTAGGTTGGCAGGAGCTGGAACTTGAGACAGGAGCTCACACCATCATGCGGCACCCGGGTCTTGAACTGCTGAACTACTGACCTTCCACAGCCTGCAGTTCAGCGTCTTAACCACTTGAGCCACCGCAGCTCCTCAGGTTAGGCTTACTGACTTAGAAAAACTGGAAGATGTAGAGAGGACCATTTTCTCAAATCAGATGTTCTCTCATGCCAAGGATAGCCCTCTGAGGTTGGGCGAATGTGAGTTCTTGGTAGTGGTCAATCATTAGGAATACTAAGAGCAGAGTTTGCCATGGGAATCTTGATTGAATGGTGACTTGCCTTCCTAGTTATGAAGGCTGTGGACACCACATACTATCTATATAAGCTGATAGCTAGATAAGCTGATAGTTAGTGCAGGAGTCAGCAGCCATAGTGCTCATAAACACCAGTGACATCCAGAATCTCGAAAGGTAGCATTCTAAAATTCACTTGCTACCTGTTTCACGTACAGGGATAGATAAGACAGGTTATGGGTCTCAATGCATTGATAAGAAAGTGGTGCTGGGAGGCAGATTAGAAACTTTCTGGGCCAAGCCAAACCTGAATAAGAGAGCCAGGTAATGCTTGAAACAAAATGGAATCAGCCTGGTGGCGCTTAATACCAAAAAGGCTGCAGAACTGCTTGTAGCTTGGGGGGAAACCAACTGGAGTTGGGGAGAATCCAGGCTGTGATGATTCACTTGTAAGAGACAATGGGATAGGTGATAAATGTAAGTTAGGGGGGAGGCAGGATAGAATTCAACACAAAAGTGGGGAGGTAAATGATGGTCATTTAAGGAATCAGAAGTGGATAAGGATCTCTGGAGAGGGAAACAAGATACAGATAGTCAATGCTGTAGGACAAGGGACCAGTGAATGTGATTTATGACTGTGATTTTTGATATTCTTCTTGACATGTAGAATGACAGCTGTCACTGTGCCTTATTAGGAGTCTGATTAAAGTGAATTAGACTTTAAAATTTAGCCCAGACAGCAGAGCTGTAGAGTAGAATTAATTAGAATATTATGATAATAGTTACAAGTTCTTTTCTTAGAGTCAGAAAATAATGGAATGGAATGTACATCTGAAATTATAAGCTCTTCAGATGAAGGACATCTGAGAAGTTGAGCTATGAGAGAGAAAGAGTCTCAGTGTTCTCAAAACAAATATCTTCTTATGCAGAGCAGAGCAACTGGCCCCAAAAGGTCTGCAAAGAGCAAAGTTTTATGTAATCAGGAAACTCCCTAGTTTCATGCTGAAGCAAATAAGCCAGGAATGATGCCAGAAGGAGGCCCCACTGTTCATTGATCCTTTTCTACTGTTCCAGGACCAGATAAACTGATGCAATTATTGACACTTAAGATCCAGATTGGGGTTCGCCAATAGAGAAATGCCAGCTAAAATCATGCTTTGATGATGAGACCTGTTGGACACCAATTAAAGATTTCTTAATGTATAAACTGTAATGATGACATTTGGGGTATAAGAGCTATTGCCCTTCCTGGTTGGGGCTGAATACAGCTTGGAGTTACTGGGTGCCAAGGTATCCAGTCCTGTATTTTCCTGATTATTGCAATAAACAGATATTTATCCTCTCCCTGGACTCCAACCATGCATTCCTTATTCGGCCCCAGGAGCACACAGGGCACAGATTTGTGCATCAATGCTAAAAGCCTGAACCAAGGTAGAGGAGCCGTAATGTTTGGTGCTAAATCACAAGTTAGTTTCCAAAGGGGAAACATTTGGGCTTAAGATGCTTTCTTTATTTGTTCCAAGTAATAAGAACTGCCGCTATGAGTTTATTAGTATATTTTAAACAGTCATCATATTTCTACAATTATCCAAGAACCACAATAAGTAACTCAAAGGAATCATGGAATATTCTTGTCCTAAAACACACCAAGGTGTATCTTTGTACGTATGAAAGTATTTGCATAAAATTTTAACTTTTGCACCCTGGTAATACTTAACAAGATTTTAGGACATCAGTACTCCATCTTACATAAAGCAGACAATTCTATTCTAAACTTCTTATTTGGTCCCATATATTTCATAATATCCTTTTGCCATAGATATAAAGTTTTGAATATTTATAGACAAATTTTCAAGTAGAAAAAGAATTTTTGGAAGTAGCTTCATCTTAAATCTGTTTATTTCCCCTAGCCAAGAAAGCTAAGGACATGTAGACATATCTTTAAAAAAATCTCTGACCACAATTTTGAATAATTATTTTTAAACAACTCAGGTTTAGCGAAAGCAATACACACAGGTTTTCAATTGGAGCATTTGCAAATTTAATCCTGTTGATTCAAAAGTCTGATTCCTGTAATTGTGCTTCAGATATTTCTACTTCTGTCAGAACCCTGCCTAACCTAACAAACAGGAAGTTGCTTAAATGTTATTAACCTGCCCAAACTACTTGTTTATTCAAATATTTATATCTCATTTTCCCCTGTGACTCAAGGCAGCTTACAAATCATACTGAAAAGCGTAATATGGGTGTACAAAAAAAATTTTTTCTCCCCAACTCCATTTTAATCTATGGGGACCATTATAGTCAACTAGGAGTAAGGCCCATTGTGGGAAGAAATACGAGATTTCGAAAGACAATCTGATATCACTAAGGCTTCAAAACTTGGGGTATTGCTAAATCTCAAAAGCACCATTGAGCCGGCTACATATCTGACTTCAGTGGAGGGAAAGAACTCTAGAAGGGCATTCGCCCTAGCCAGATGTTCTGCCCTTCCATCTGCAGTTATTCAAGGCAGGTATAATAAAAACCCCTACCCTGAAAGGTTATGTTCATGCACTTCATGTGAGGTCAAATCAGTAGAGCATATGTTTTTCCGTTGCCCATTCGACAGAGAGGCTCGTCTTAAAATCATTACCCCATTAGTTGATAGGATACCTGGTCACATCAATACGAACAAAGCAAGGCTTCGCTGGCTTCTATCAGATAAGGATGCAGAGATTACACGTTCAGTTGCTGAGTTCTGTGCATTGATGCTTAGATTGCGGGAGTCGCATTTAAAAAAATTTAAATTTAGATTTTATTCTGTATATTATCTGTTTTTTCCTTCTTTTTCATACTATGTTTGTATTGTATGCTGGTCTTAAGACCATAATAATAAAACTAATAACTAATACAACGGGCTTTAGAAAGAAGCTCCAGGTGAGTGTCCCAGCTGTGCCTGGTGGGGCAGCAGAGGGAAGGGGAAAATAGAGGGAGGGGAGCCATGTTTATTTCCTTTTGCTTAGTTATAAGCAGGGCTGTCTCAAGTCATTTTGCTGCCCCAAGTGGGTCGTATGGGAGGAGAGCCTCATGGTAACAGGAATAGTTCCCTTCACCCCTGACTTATGTAGATTTGGAGCTGTGTAGTAGCAGCTAAGGTAGAAAAGCACCTCCTCCTATGCCATGTTTTTGTTGACATAAGTAAGGCTTCAGAATGAGTGATCGTGCCAATCTATGTGACAGATGTTTGACAGTCACAGGAACCAGAGCTAACCGGTTCAGACTGGAGCTGAGGAAAGCAATGTCACAGTGACTCAGCAGCAAGCTGATTGGCTGGTCACTGTATATAAGTGATTGTCGACTGTATTTTTCCTTCTACTTGAGTGCGTGTATTGCGAAGCACTTTGACGGTGAGCTGTATATATTGGATAATAAAAACTGTACATAGTTAACCACAGAACTGTATAAGTGTGGTTTGCTACAGTTAGCTCTTAGCAGGGCATAACTGGGACTTGGCTGGTGAAGACTGACTCAACCATACGCACTGCACGACAGTTTTCTGGGTTCCAAGAGTCTGGAAAGCAATTACAGGGACCATTTAAGAGTTGTATTAGGAGTCCCAATTTAGTGCCTGTGGACACCATGGTACCTGTGGGCACCTTTCCTGGTACCCACCAAGTGTTTTTAGAAAATTGGCAGGGTCAAGCAGAGAGTTCACCCAGCACGACTTCTGAGAGCTAGTTGGCTGAATCGATTTTTATAAACACTGCTTTCAGCAGTAGCTGCCATCAGAGTACAAGGATCTTCACTGCATGGCTGAAGGTAAGCTTGTGTGTATGCAAGAAAATATTTTAAACAATATTATAGAATCACAGAGTTGGAAGGGACCTCCAGGGTCATCTAGTCCAACACCCTGCACAATGCAGGGAATTCACAAATACTTCCCCCCACACACACATCGCCTGTGATTGCTGTTTCACACCCAGAAAATTACAAAAAACCTCCAGGATCTCCAGCCAAACTGGCCTGGAGATAAATTGCTTCCTGACTCCAACATGGAGATCAGCATTTCCCTGGGCCTGTAAGAAAGGGCCACAAGAACTAAGCACTGATGGAACCCTTCCTGCCCTCCCTCTCATGATCTGCCTAAGTTCAACGAATCAGCATTGCTGTCAGATGGCCATTTAGCCTCTGTTTGAAAACCTCTGAAGAAGGAGGGCCCACCACCTCCTGAGGAAGCCTGTTCCCCTGAGGAACTGCTCTGACTGTCAGGAAGTTCTTCCTCATGTTTGGCCAATAACTCTTCTGATTTAATTTCAACCCGTTAGTTCTGGTCCAACCTTCTGGGGCAACAGAAAACAACTCTGTACCATCCTCTATAGGACAGCCCTTCAGGTACTTGAAGATGGTTATCATATCACCTCTCAGTCAGCCTGAAATTAAGTGTTACTATTTGGACTACACATAACCTCTGTCCTGGTTCGGTGGCCGCGGGACGTAGACCCCACCCTCTAGAGATGCCCCAACCGCCCGACTCACCCAGGAACCAGCAGAGGAGAGGAGCAACTATGATGCCATGGCAACCGGTGGAGCCGCAGTCCGGCTCCGCAGCACGGGAAGCCCCGGGAGAGACAACCTTTGGCGACCCAGAGGGTTGTAGCAGCGTCGGCAGAGCACGGCCCCTGGAGCGTGCACCCCGGAACCTTACCCCAGTGAGCAACATTGTGGAGGGAGAGCTGAGGGTGGACACGGCGAGGAGCCCGGAATGCCCAGACGGCGTCCGGACTTATCACCAGGGGTGGGGCCAGACTGGGAGTAGAGGGGGCGGGGGACACAGGTGGTGCTGGGAGTGGAGAAGTGGGAATAAAAGGAGAGAGATGCCGAGGGGCCGGAAAGGAGAAACGTGCGACGGAACTGAGCTGAGAGAAACGGAGATTGAGAGAGAGAGAGAGGAAGATCGAGAGAGAGAGGTGTCCTGTGCACGCCAGCAGAGGGACTTAAGGGGTGACATTAACCCCGTTCCCTGACTATCTGAAGCCCCACGGCAAACTCCTCCTTAACGAACTCCCTCCAACTCCCAGGACCGTCCGCCCTAGTGGGAAGCCAGACGCCATGGCCACGGGTGGGTCAGCCTGACAACCTCATTTCCTGAAATTCTGTGACTGGCTCCACCTCCTGCAGCAGCCCACCACCCTGTGTCAAAGTTCCAAAGCTGACCCCAAGCTCAAAATGTTTGGGACCCTGATTTATACTGCTCTTTTACACTGTGATTGGGGTATTAGCACAGTCACACATTGTCAAAATAATCAAAGCATTCATATATATGAGGGAGGTGGGGGAAAATACTTCAACCCAGTTGGGACCTAGAACATTTCCCACTCCATTATTTCTTATGGGACAATTACAATATTACAACGTGATTTTCTATAATATGGCACTCTTCAGGAACATAACCTACTACATTATGGCAGAACTAGCTGTACTCTTCAGACCATTCTCTGGGTTCTTCTAACACTCATTATAGTGGATGTAACCTACTCAGAAAGAGTCTCATACCTTCACTCTGAGGTCCAATGCTGTACATATTGAATCCACGCACGCTTGTTGGTCCACCAAGGTAAAATCTAAAAGAAATCAGAAGAGCCATTACAACATACAGAGAGCCACTGCTGTGATGGTTAGTGCTGGGCTAGGATCTGAGAGACCAAGATTCACATCCCCTCTCTGCCCTGGGTAGCTTGGCTGGGTGACCTTGAGCCACACAGTCTCAGCCTAACCTTAACTTGCAGTGTTACAAGGATAAAATGGTGGAGGAGAGAGGAATGATATAAGCCACTTTGGGTTCCACTGTGGAGAAAGGCAGAGTATAAATCAATAAAATAGAAGTAACAAAACTTCCCAACTAGTGAGATGAGGAAAATGCAACCATGAATACGTGCTTCTGTTAAAGAACTCAATACAAGGAATGTTATTTTTTTTACATTAAATAGCTTAGTTCTATTAATTATTGGATTATTTTAAGCCGTTTGGCAGGAAAATATACCCACTACACTCAGGGAAAGCTATATGTGGATCTGAAATCAACATTCGATTCAATTCCTAGGACATGTTTTAGGCAAAAACTCAAGAAAACTACAACAGACCAAATATGGATGCTTTATGATAATTCAACAACCCAGGTTAGATGTGGGTCAGAAGGGCAAATGACAAGAGTCAAACAGGGATGTCTGATGGCTCCACTTACATTGAGGTTTCCAAGTTATCAAGAATTACCCCCAGATATTTAAAAGACCTAACCTGCTCTAGTTCATTGCCCTCTAAAATCTATTTATACCTTTGTTCTCACTTAACCCCCCCCCCGAATATCTTCAACTTTGAAGAGTTGTCAGACCTACCGTAGGAAAGGTGGACAGTACCTTCCAGCAGAGATTACAGCTTTCAGTGCTAAGATACTGTCTCATCTACTTACATGGAGCAGCAACCTGGCTCTACAGGATAAATGAGACTATAGATTCGCTGCTAATACAATTCTTGTGTCAGATCTGTGGGATCCCGAAATATGTGACTGGTACTGCCCTTAGACTGGAACTTGACCAGCATTCAGTTGAATCTAGGGCTTGGATACTGGCATTAAATCTGAAACTCAAGCGAATGTTTTCTGAGTATAATAGTGTATTATATTATATGGAACAAGATAATTTCTCCGGTCCATGGAATTGGGCTATAATAGAAAAACTGAATATACCCAGGGAAAGTTGTTTTTGTATTAAGGAGGCCCCTAGCCCAAAAGATTATCAAGCAGCTGATTATGAAAACTGATTTCAAGAGCACTATCTGCTGGTCTAGGTGTGTCTGCTCTCCTCTCTGTTTGGGAATCCCACCACTCTTCATAAACCCAAAATACTTGTTTAGCCTTTCAGTTCCAAGATAAAGATGAGCAATTATGCTCATAAGATTAAATGTGCTACCATCTGTGACCTCCGAAAGCCAAATATTAGGTACACTGCTTTCCGATAGATATTGCGGTTGTGGCTTTCAGATCATAAAAACTGAAACGTGTTTTATTTGAATGACCACAGTATAAGGAGGCTAGAAAAAAGTGGATCAATGCCCCAGCAAAACAAGCCCTCCCGAAACATTTTAGTTACCAATATTTTACTGGATCCTAGGCCAGCAAATACACTTTTGTTCAGGCCATGACAAGACACCTTCTCCAATATAGCACAGCCTGTTCTCTCTGGCCTGAATTCTTCCTTTCATTCTTAGCTGGGATAGAATGATACTACTCAAGATCTGCAGGTCAGAGGAGTAGAGGAAGGAAGAAATTGCTTTGTTATAACAGTTCGAGTAACCTGGTAAGTCTGGTCCACACCTTATGTCAGCATTTCTTATGTGTCACACAGGCCAGGGCTCCCTAGTCTTAGGGGAGAAGGGATAAAGCAGGGGCCCAGCCCTAAGGAGGGCAAGAACCCTGGTGAAAGAGCTTGGAGGAGGGCCAGGTGGAGCAGCAAGAGCACGGGAGGAGCAATCAGAAAGAAGGCCCACCAGTATTAACTTCCTGTAAAGCAAAGGTCTCCTCTGGTGCAATGGCCTCCTTGAGAGAAAGGGCTTGCTCATGAGTAGGAGAGGGAAACAGGACTCCTCTCAGGTAAAATCCTTCTTGAGGGGAAGGGCTTGCTTGTGGCCAGGTAAAGAGGGAAAAGGATCCCAGCTGAAGGCAGTAAGGGGGCAGCGGACTGAAGACTGGGAGAAGGCTGGGGGCAGGTAGGAAGCCACCATGCTTCCTGAAACCTCAGAAGTTGACAGCACAGTCCTGGTCCCCGGGGCAGCCAGGAAGAACTTTGCATGCCTGACCCAGGTGGACAGGCTACCTCTGGCTTAATCCTTAAGGAACTGTATAGCAGCCAGGACAGGAGAGAAGGGCACAGGTGGGAAAAGCGGCCCTAGCAGTGAGGTGTAAACAGGTGGAGGTGAGGAGCAGTCAGCTGACCGGACCAGAAGGTGATACTGACCTCTGGAGTTGGCACTATAAAGGAATGAAGCCATTAAAGAACCAGCTTCACAGTTCTGGTATGTTGCTTCATCTCTCACAATGTAGAGAAAAGATTGCCCCTTCCCAAGACAACGTACCCCCTGGCCCAGGGGACTTCACACTGAGATTCACTGTGTATTATTCCAGTATGAAATATCTAGCAGTAATCATTTGTTAGTTACCGGCTTACCTGTAACTGCTGTCCTTTCAGTGGCCATCTATGTATTCACACTGATGAGCTTTGTGCACAAGACTTTAGATTGGAAACTTCCGGAGTTATCCTTCTAGGTACAAAAACTTTCCATCAGAAATGCAGCATTGGACTGCACATGGCTGAAAGAAGTTATGCCTTCCAGCTCATTTCCTACTGAAACATAAGAGTACACTGCAGCAAAGACCCTTGCTATGGTAAAAGGTTGTGTGATGGCACAGATGTCTGCTTGAAGAACAACAGTTACAGGTAAGCATTTGCCATCTGGGGTCAGAGCCCTGAGCCCACTGGACACCGCCCCAGCCGGGGACAGGTGTCCAAGAACTCCACAGAGGGGGTCTTTACTCCCCAAGGCCCAGTAAAGGGTAGCTCAGAAGGGGGAGGCTGACCTTGATGAAGGACAACTCATCCACCAAGGCCAGGTCCAGGATTGAGCAGTGGGGGCTGAAGATGTCTCCCAGGTACAAGAAAGTTATTTATTATTTATTTATTAAATCAGATTTACTAGGCAGCCCTTCCTTACAAGTAGGGCCCAAGGTGGCTTACAACAAAATAATATACAATAAGTAATTTAAACCGACATTAAAACTACCCCAAAACAGATCAATAAATAAGCCAATATACATTCCAGATGACGGGGGGAAATTCAGCTCCCCAGCCTTGTGGGGGAGGGGTTACATGGGATGGGGAGAGAGTATGAGTGTTCCAGAAGTCATACTATCCCGTCTCTGTCCTCAACCAAATGCCTGGCAGAACATCTTTGCCTTGCATGCCCTGTAGAAAGGTAATAACTCCTGCAGGGCACTAATGTTTCCTGGCAGACTCCCACCAGCTGGGGGCCAGGGCCAAAAAAGCGCTGACCCTGGTTGAGGACAGGAAGTTCTTATTCCCAGAGTATAACGCTCCTCCACGGCATACTGAGAGAGGCGGTCCCAAAGGTATGTAGGTCCCTGACTGCTAAGGGCCTTAAAGGCCAAGACCAAAACCTTGAACTTGATCCGGTGCTCCACTGGGAGCCAGTACAGCTCACGTAGCACAGGTTGGTTGTGCTGTCCGGGGTGTGTGCGTGTGTGTGTGCAGCTGCATTCTTGATCCGTTGGAGTTTCCGGGTCAGGCGCAAAGGTACGCCCATGTAGACCAAATTATAGTAGTCTATCCTGGAGGTGACCACTGCATGGATTACCATGGCCAGGTCTGGGCGAGACAGGTAGGGAGCCAGTTGCCTAACCTGGCGCAGTTGGAAAAATGCCAGTTTGGCAACCTTCGCAACCTGGGCCTCCAGGGTCAAGAAGGGGTCCAAAGTCACGCCCAGGCTCTTGACGGTCTGCACTGATGATAGAGGCACACCCTCAAGAGTCAGGAGGTAGAAGCCCAACCGAGGCTCCCACCCACCCAGCCACAGAACCTCCATCTTACCTGGATTCAGTTGCAGCCAACCCTACTCTAACCATCTCACCACAGCCTCTAAACCCTCAACTAAATTCCCGGGAAGGGTATCCGGCCGGCCACCCATCAACAGAAATAGCTGGGTGTCATTAAAATAGCGACAGTCAAGATGAATATTTAACCTAGATTGCTATTCTTATTTCAAACAATTCCAATTTTAAAAAATCAACAGTATTTTAAGCAAGTGAAGAAACTGATCTGGCTATTTATTTGGCAAGACAAACGATCAAGGATAAAAACGAAAGCATTACAGGATAGAAAGGAAAGAGGAGGTTTTGCAGTACCAGTTTGGCATCTTTATTATAAAGCGGCAGCCTTGACCTGGATGAAAGAGTGGATTACACTGGAAAATCCAAGATTGTTAAAACTAGAAGGATATGATTTGAAATTAGGATGGCATGCTTTTGTATGGTACGGGAAAAGTGATATTCATAAATATTTTAAGCAACATATGATAAGAGCAGCATTGTTAAAGGTCTGGGAAGAGACCAAAAGATTGATGTATACAAGAATACCGAAATGGGTCTCACCACTAGAGGCCTTTATAAACCCCAATTTACTAAAGATCAGCTATGGAGATATGAAGAACTTCTAGACAAGAAAAACAACTTAAATACGCAAGACAGTTTTCAAAGACAGGGTATTTGCCTGAACTGGTGGGAAAGGGTGCAACTTGATTCCAGATATGCTAAAGATAAACAAACTGGTTTTCTTGATAAATCTGTAGAATTGGATAAAATCCTACTATGTGTAGATGGAAAATTTATAAAACTATTTTATACATTGTTATTAGATATGAAAATGCAAGATGAAGTAGTAAAAATTTTAATGGTTAAATGGGCACAGAATGTGGGGCATGATATAGAGATGTGGAAAAATAATATTAAATATACAAAAGCAAAATCAGTTGAATCTTTGAAAAAACAGCAGAGACCTGCCCTAGGTCAGCCCTTTGGATTCAGTTTCCAAGCAGGTAATGAATAGGCAGTAAATGTTGTTGATGGAGAGGTCCCTTAGGGACCAGGTCTCTTGAAGAGAAATGATGTCAAATTTCTCAATAAAGGTCCTAAAGTCCAAATCACCAAATTTGTTTCCCCATCCTGCTATATTCCAAGAGGTTATTTGTACAGTTGGTCTTCCTATGCATTCCAAATGTTGGTTCTTCAGGTCTAGTCAATCTAATTCAGCTATACGATTCAAGGCTGGATTATCTTCTGAGCGTATACATCCATTAAACACCTCTTGGGTTGTACTAGGGGGTGAATGAGGTTGTACAATAGAGTTGTTTACATTTAAAGGGGATGCTTTTACAGGGTCGTTGGTAGATAGATCAATGTCATTCCTCGCAGGATGGGTAAAAGTCTGTTGGGAAGTAGTCAAAGAGCTCACTCTTTCAAAGGGGCATGTATATATACATGCCATAGGAGACTTGGGGACCGATAGGTCCGTCATAGGTAGCTCATCTAGAGGCATCTCAGAAGAAAACTTGAGGTTTCAAGTTTTTAATCTCTTGTAGTTTACAGGTCCTGGTGGTTAGTTTATCAGTAGTTATTTGTTGCTTAGCATTGATAGGAGATCCAGAAGGATTGAGAGCATCTTCTTTCAAGAAATTAGATAGTTGGACAGAGGGCACACAGGTCCTGGGGTCCGCAAGAACTATAAGGTCTTGTTGATTTACTTAGTCAGCACAAGGGGTATGTGTAATACATAGAAATTGGGGGTTTAAATCGGGGGTTCTTGAATCATCTTGGGATATTAAATTCATGGGTGTCACCGCATCCTTCTTTAGCAGCATTTCCTGTGGAGATGGGTACAGTTCTGGTTCAATAACTCTTTTCTTGCACAAAGGGCGAATAATAGTTATGGAAAAATCAAGAGGGAAAAATCCCTTTAGATTGTAGCGTTCCTTTCTTCTTAAAAATCAGAGAGGGAATTTTTTGGGAGGAAAAAGTAATCATAACTCTTTGGGCTTGGTGCGGAGGGCTGAGAGGAGACGTATCCAATACATCAATCTCTGAAGGTCTTCACTTGAGGAGGGTAGAAAGATGAGCTCTTGTTCTAGGGGCACCCAACAGTTAGGAGTTTATTTCCAGTGTCCACGGACAGTAAGGTATACTTTCCTTGGTTGGTAAATGAGCTAGTAGAAGTTATTATTTGAAGGTTTCCCAAGGGAGTTAACATGCTCATGACTCTCCGTAGAGGCTTGCCTTAAACTGTCCTGGCCCCCAGGGGGCTTTGAAGGTGTAAGGTGACCACAATTGCTGTTTGTTAAAAATTTGGAAATCTTTGCGGACAGGCACTGGATCTGTGAAAGTATATTCTGGGTTCCTTGAAATATGCATTCCACAGTTCTAGCAATCAGAAGTAGCAGAGAATCTTCCCTGGGCTGATGAGCCTCCTCCTCGGAGGGAGGGTGACATACCCTCCTATCAACCTCCAGAGCCTCAGAAATCTCAGGGTATTGTTCTAACGTCTCACAGCTGGAGTCCAGTAAAAACAAAATGATTATTTCTTCACAAGCTTCACTCCCAAATTCCATAGATTAGGATTCCACAGTTCTTGGTATCAAAATACACCAACGTCTACTTAGCAGTTAGCTGTAGCCATGCACAGTAAGTTGAGATAAAAGATATTATTCCAGGATGTATCATTAAGTACCTTGTTTCCTGCATTGGTCAGGCATATAGTTAAAAGCTGCTTGCAACAATTAAAACAGTTAAACCGATAGAGTACCGGAAAATAATCTTGGGCGTGTTTCATACCGTCGCCATCTTGGATCGGCTGAGAAACAAGCTGGTTTGGCTGAACCAGCTAAGGCTGGAGGTCAACTGAAAGCCCCACCCTTTCCTATAGTCAGTTAGGTCCTTCCAAGAATTAGAGAGTTGTGTTTTCCTCCTGAGAGAGGCTGGAAAGTATGAGGCCCTAAGATGCCAGGTGTGCAATTCACTCCATGATCCAGGCTTCAGCTATGGTCCTTGGCTTTCTTCCTTCGTGGGCATCTGGGGGAGTCTGGAGGTGGACTGATCCACCTAAGAGGTTCCTGGATCTTGTAGAGGAGCCTGTAGGAGCCTGTTGTTGAAGAAGAGTCAGGAGGTCTTCCACTGGATCTTATACAGTGCATAATGCCTCCGACATAGTGAAAATCCCAGGGGAGGGCTCTTCCTTCAGGGAAGAGGCTATGCCAGGACAAGTCACTATTTTTAAAAAAAAATTTAAAAAAATCTTGAATAAATATTTTTGCATTAAAGTACATGTTAACTTATGGTCAGTGTCGGACAGACTCTGGTGTAGTGTGGATAGCATGCTAGACTAGAACTGGGAGATCCAGGTTAGAATTCCCACTCTTCTATGGAAGCTTGCTGGGTGACCTTGGGCCAGTCACACACTCTCAGCTTAACCTAAATCTGAGGGTTGATATTGTAAGGGGAAAATGGAGAAATGGATAATGATGCTGTATACTGCTCTTGGTTCCTGTTGGGACAGAAAAGTGGAGTATAAATAAATAACTGTCCTATGCCTAATTAATACCAAACTACTGAAATATACATACACTGTAAGAGAATATATTTTATCTTCAATCGTAAGTGGTGGCAGCAGAAAATAATAGAAAGGTACAAGTGGGAACCCGGAAGAAGCTTGCAGGAGTGGTCATTTAATTCCTCCCACCTTTGCTTCCTCTAATCTCCCCCCCCACTTCTCTCAGCCCCCCTCTCTCTCTCTTTCACCCTTGCCCTTCTCTCACTTCTGTATGCCTACTGTCACACTTTCTCCCTCCCCATACTCATCACTCTTTCTTCCTCAGTGGCATCACTGACTCTCCTGGCCACCCACCTGGCAGCTCACCCAGCAACAGCACCACAGACTCTTCTGGGTGCTCGCTGGCAGCTTCCAGCCCTCCAGCAACAGCACCGATGACTCTCCTGGCCACCTGCCCACCCGCCAGTCAGATTCCCCCCCAATACACCCCAATGGCAGTACCTACTCTACTGGCCTCTCTCTAGCAACCTCGCCCACTCATGCTTTGGAGGGGACTTAAGCAGGACCAGCAATACTCATGGGGGGTGGATCCCTCCCCCTCTTAGCTTTAAACCCCCCCCCAGCATTGTCACTGCCAGCAGCCCATTTTATTAAATGTAAATGAAAGCTGAGAGGGGGAAGGGATCCCCCTGTGAGTATTGCAGCCTCCCCCCCCACACACACACACTGCAGCTGCCAGTGGGCCCAGTACGGCTCTTGGCCTCTGCCGCAAGGCCTGCCCCCTCCCATTCCTCCAACCTCAATGCTGGCCAGCTTTGCATGCCTCCTGGCCTTCGCTGCTGGGCTTGTGGAGATTCCCTAAGCTCCTCCACCCTTGCAGCTGCTGCGAGTGAGCCCAGCATGGTTTCCGCCCCTCTAACATCAATACCAGCCAGCCTAGCATGGCTTCTGGCCTCCAGTGCTGGGCCTGCTGCAGCTCCTGAACCTCCTCAACCATTGCAGCTCCCAGCCTCCCCACCAGGCCTGCTGTGGCTCCTGCCTCCCCATTGCTGCCAAGAATACACTGAAAGAGACGCAAGTTGTCTGTGCACACTTTTCTGGGGGGGGGATTTAACCCCCCCATGTATTTTTTCAACTTTTAAGATTTTTTTGCAAACCTGGGGAGTACCCCAAGTTTGGAGAAAAATCTCCTTTCTCTCATGTCAGCCCATAAAAGATGAAGTCAAATAAGTACGTCATGCTAACAATGACTCTGGTGGAAATATAGTTTATTCTTGGGTACTTGGGGTATAATGGTAAGGAGGTTAAATAAACCCATTCTCTATTTGGTGGTGGTAGCAGGATTACAAACAACACTTTCCTCAAGACAGACTCTTATGCACCCTAGTTTGGAATAATGTATGGTGCTGGTTACTTGAACTATTCTCTCATCAATTAAGCTGTTATAAGATAAAGTTATAGAAATCTGTGGATAAAACCAAAACAAATGAAATCACTTGCCTGTCAGCAATGCTGGATGGTTTATCTCGAATCGGAACCAACATTCCACCCCAAAACGAAGCCGAGAAAACCTGTAAAAGAAGCATATATTTATTTATTTATTAAACAACTTTGTTTTTAAAAAACAAATACTGGGAACTCCTTTTTAAAAAAACAAACATTTTATTGCCTTTCTAAACTACACATATAGGGTTTGGGGATGGGAACAAACTAAAACTACGAGTAGCAAGAGATCGTTAATACAATTGTTTAAAGTAAGGATAATTCCCTATTGTCAAAATAGTAATGCATGAGAGTTAATACAATAGTTATATAGAAGATTGACCGAGTGTTCACAAACAAATTTGCTTCTTAGTTTAGGGTTATTAGTTCCTGATAATTATCAGACCATTAGAGTTTCATTATTTTACTCATTTCCTTCCTCTACGTTTCTTTTCAAAGTCCTTTTTATTTTGGGGGGGCTTAGGAACCGTAGCCCCTAGTTCTGCTTCAAAATCTAAGAATTCAGCCGACAAAAGAGTTGGTAGAATTTTCCACAGTTTTGTCTATTTTTTTTTCTACATCCCTGTCGTCCTCCAGTTTCTCAGATCCATCTTTATCTTGTTGGTGATGCTCAAGAAATTTTTTTGCTTTGAAGACAGAGCCAATTTTTTCTTTTTTGCCATTGAAGTTGAAAGTAAGCCCTTCCGGGGTTAACCATCTGTATGGGGTGTTTGTTCTTGAAGAAACTGTGCCAGGTCTCTGTACTGTCTTCTTCTTTTTCTGATCTCAAATGGAATGTCTTTTAAAATTTTAGTTTGTTCTCCTTGGATTTTCAAAACAGTTCCGCTTCTCACTTTCAGGATTAAGTCTCTTATTGACCTTTTTGAGAATTTAACAAATATTTCCCCGGGTAGCTTATTTTTCTTTATATATTCTGGATATGTACAATATACTATATCCATGTCGTTTTGTATCGCTTCTGCTGTTAAGCCTGCCACGGGGGCCAGTTCTTTACTTAAAACCTCTTTCAGGTTTTCACCTTTCTGTTCAGAAATGTTCTGAAATCTCAGGACATATGCTGATTTTTCCATTTGGAGGGATAGCAATTGGTGATTCTCCGAGATTTTATCTTTTTCCACCACCTCCTGGGAACTCCTAATCCTTCATTCTTAATCCTTTGAAAAAGTGTGGTTGCAGCAACTCTAGGAGGATTTTTCTTCCAAATAAACTTTAGAGTGTGCGTCTGCCAATATCCTATTATTTCTGATTCAATAACTAAGTGGATATTCCTGAAGAAAAATACAACTCAAGGCATCACCGTCATTTTAATGATAGGCATTCTCCCTATCCAAGATACAGATAAATTGCTTCAGAATTTCAACTTTCCTTCGACGTTAAATTACAATTTACAATGACTGTATTCAACTATTTCATTTAAGATCATCTGACAGGCCAATACTAAGATAGCTGACTGGCTCTGACTTCTACAGAATCTCAAAAAGACCAGCTGTTTTGGTATTTTGACCAGTCTTATTAAAGTCAAAAGATCCCGCTTTATCTAGAATCCCCTTTAGTACTGAGATTCTACTAAACAGGTTTATGATATCAAGCAATTTCTTGGATTATTCCAGTGGGTGAATTAACGTAAGAACAAGATCGGCACGACAAGAGCAAGATCTAACCATAAGGAGCAAGGCATATTTACACTACTCCCAACTGCTATGGTTAATGGAGCTATCATTAATATAAACAAAAGAGAAAGAGGGCATCCTTCATAATGTAAAATAACAAAAAAAGAAAACATAAGAGACGCCAATGTTGGATCAGGCCAATGGCCCATCTAGTTCAACACTCTGTCACAAAGTGGCCAAAAATACCAGGTGCCATCAGGAGTTCCACCAGTGGGACCAGGACACTAGAAGCTCTCCCACTGTTGCCCCCCACCAAGCACCAAGAATACAGAGCATCACTTGCCCCAGACTGAGAGTTCCTACCTATGCCTTTTGGCTAATAGCCACTGATGGACCTCTGCTCCATATGTTTATCCAATTCCCTCTTGAAGCTTGACCTGATTTTTGTATGTTAAAACTACCCCAATCTCCAAATTTCCCAACCAAATTAAAAAAAAAAATCAACAGGAAGTAATTTCCACTGTATTCATTATGAGCTACTGACAGTATAGGAATACTTACTGAATCCCACAGAAATGGCCTATTCAACTGAAGCTCAAAGTCCTCTTTTAGAAAGCTCACATCACCACCTGTGTAACCAGCCAACTCCTAAAAAGGAAGAATCCATTTTGAAACATTCAAGTTAATACCCAATTAAATAAGAGAAATATTTTATGAATATCTATATGATTAATCTAATCATCCACTGTTTTTGTTTCTTAGTGCTGCTATAAACTGAACCAAATATTATTTTGGAAATTATTTAAAAACAACTTAGCTATGCAGGACACGCCTTCTCAGCAGCATTTCAACAGACACCAGCATTTGAAGTCAAGCACAAACCCCTTTTTGCTTGGTCCAGATAACAATACCTGATTTATTTTCAGCAAAGCACCTTTTCTGGGCAAGATTGAGGATTTTCGAGAATCAACCACCATTGCATGCTATTAGGAAAAAAAAATCATACAAGGGTTTATAAGTTAGGAACAGGCAACTGGGACATCCTGCTGCGAAAAACTGCATACAGACTTCCTGCAGGTATAGAAAATGCAAACTTCCAAGTTTCGTGCTTCAATTTATTTAGAAAATCAGTTTACTGAACTCTGACACTCTAAGAGGACTGGGATGCAAAATACTATAGTTATTCCTTATTAAGATAATTAATTTTGTGGTATTCCTAGTTCACTCTTTTGTCTGAACTTCAATGAACTGCCCTTCATAAGGAAAGCATAAACACAACAGTCCCCTGAGAAACTGTCCAAAGATCTGCTTCTGCACGTGGAAATAGCTTGCATTTTGTCCTAGTACCAAACTTTATCCCAAAGCCCATTTCTACATGCAGCGGCACTAGCCTATGCACAATGAACTGAGAAAACAGCTTAAGGAACTGAGCACGCCTCTGCATACAGAATTACACACCAGATGTATGTTCTTCCAGTTTCCTGAATAGCAACAAAATTACCAACCATCGCAACATTTCCTTCGGCGATGGATGTACCCTAAGTCGTTCTGCAAGCTTAGAGACTGTGAGGAAGAAAAAGCCAGTTCTCTCACTGTGTTTCAGAACTCTGTAGAACCCAGTAAACCAGCAGTCTCTCTAACCTTTCTGGGCAACAACAGGGTCACAGTGCTTCTAATACAGTTATTCCTATATTTAGCATACTACATTATTCAGCACCATCCAAGGGTTACATTACTGCAAAATTCGTATTTTAAATGAACAAAAAATTACAGAGACAGAAGACTTGAGTGAGTGTCCACTTTCTTCTCGAACAGAAAACGATGCCGTTCTTGCAAGACAGCCAAGCTCTCTCCAAACACCTTCCCATTTTAATGTATGGTTAGTCTTCCATATTGGGAACTATAAAACAAAACATTTGAACTATGAAAACAATTGAACCATGAATGCTAAAAATGTATGACAAAAACTGTTCTTTGACATTGAATCCTGACAAGATGAAGGCAATACTGATTGATTGATTTCCCCTCATTAGAGGGTCAAACTTTTTTTGAAAGATACCATAAATAGCTTGGAATACAAAGGGGCACACGCCATCTCTGTCAGGGAGCTCTCCCATGCATGAGATGCTGGGCTGCCCAAATACACATGAGGGCCTACTCATTCCTAAAGCCAAACAGTGGAGATTGACAGGAAAAGGTTGGTCTCTCATGGGCAGCACAAAAACGTCCTCTGAACTTTCACAATTCATGAGAACTCCAAGGAGAGGACATACAAGTCAGGCAGGGCAGCTGTCAGAGGGAAGAGGTATTTGCCACTGGTGGCTAGATTTGTGAACCCCAGTTTCCAGACAAATTAACAGCAAGTGGTGTTATTTTACCTACATTAATTTCTGTTGATATTCCTCTGTCTGTTTCACGAAGAGAGCTCCACGGGAATTGCCCAGTTACTTTATACAGATTGAGAGAAACACTACAAATAAAATATTGACATTTAAGATTATTACAATGGAAGGATGTGAAAAAATATGTGCTTAAGAACCAAAACCTTTAATTTTAAGTTTTGCTACTGAAGTTAAAAGAGTATCCTGACATGTAAGGCAGATCTCTATGGCACTGACTCATTGAGCATTATAAAGTCCTGACTACTGGAGAAGTCTGTGCTGATAGTCCTAGTTTTTGGACCTTTAAATAGACCTCAAAATGCTGCACCAAGTCAACAACACTTCACTCCCTACTCAGCAAATATTATTTAGAAATATAAAGCTGGAAGGGACCTCAATTGTCATCTAGTCCAACCCCCTGCACAATGCAGGAAATTCACAACTACCTCCTCCCCCCACTCCCCAAGTGACCCCTGCTCTATGCCCAGAGGAAGGCAAAACACCTCCAGGATCCCTCGGCCAATCTGGCCTGGAAGAAAGTGGCCAACTGCACTACCCTGGGCACATAAGAAAGGGCTACAAGAGCCGAGTACTGGTTCATCCCTTCCTGTTCTCTCTCTCGCAATCTGCCTAAATTCATAGTAAGTTATAGAACCAGCATTGCTGTCAGATGGCCATCTAGCCTCTGCTTAAAAACCTCCCAAGGAGAGCCCACACCTTCCAAGAAAGCCTGTTCTACTGAGGAACCACTCTAACTGCCTGCTTATGTTTATGAAGTGAACCAGTGTAAAGGCACAACTGGATACTGCTTTACCAGCAGCACAATAGTAGTCAGGACCATGACTAGTTGTTTACTCAGGCAAGCACTGGAACCTTGGTCAGATTGGTGTTTCTTGCAATTTAACTGTTAAACTCTTTTAAAGATAGTGGCAAGAAGGTCTCTCATGAATGCCCAGTCATTCCCTAAGCAGGTAAACATAGCTTTCTGCTGGTCCCCTACTGCTACAGTAATCACATTTTCCACTTTCTTTTCTCTCTTCTTTCTCTTTTGTGTAAAGAAGAAGGTGACACATAATTTTTATTCTAAGTGGGAAAATGATAGCATCAATGCTCCTTTCCCACAGAATCATAGAATTGGAAGAGACCTCCAGGGTCATCTAGTCCAATCTCCTGCACAAGGCAGGAAATTCACAAATTCCTCCCCCCACACCCCCAGTGACATGTTCCATGACCAGAAGATGACAAAAAACCTCCAGGATTTCCAGCCAAACTGGCCTGGAGGAAAATTGCTTCCTGACCCCACCCCAAAAAAGTGGCAATCAGCATTTTCCTGGGTGTGTAAGAAAGAGCCACAAAAACTAAGCACTGAGGCAACCCTTCCTGCCCTCCCTCTCATGAACTGCCTAAGTTCACAGGATCAGCATTGCTGTCAGATGGCTATCTAGCCTCTGTTTGAAAACCTCCAAAGGAGGAGAGACCACCACCTCCCGAGGAAGTCTGTTCAACTGAGGAACCACTCTAACTGTCAGGAAATTCTTCCTAATGTTTAGCTGAAAACTCTTCTGATTTAATTTCAACCCGTTGGTTCTGGTCCAACCTTCTGGGGCAACAGAAAACAACTCTATACCATCCTCTAGATGACAGCCCTTCAAGTACTTGAAGATGGCGATCATATCACTTCTCAGTCATCTTCTCTCCAGGCTAAACATACCCAGCTCCTTCAACCTTTCCTCATAGGACTTGCTCTCCAGATCCCTCACCATGTTTGTTGCCCTCCTCTGGACACGTTCCAGCTTATCTATATCCTTCTTAAATTGTGGTGCCCAAAACTGAACACAATACTCTAGGTGAGGTCTAACCAGAGTAGTGTAAAGCAATACCATCACTTTGTGTGATCTGGACACTATACTTCTGTTGATACAGCCCAAAATCGCATTTGCCTTTTTAGCTACCGCATCACACTGCTAACTCATGTTCAGTGTATGGTCTACTAAGATATCGATATCCTTTTTGCACATACTACTGCCAAGTTTCCCCCATCCTATAATTATGCATTTGATTTTTCCTACCTAAATGCAGATCTTTACATTTATCCCCATTGAAATTCATTTTATTTTTTTAGCCCAGTTTTCCAGCCTGTCAAGATCATCCTGTATCCTGACTCTCTTCTATGGTATTTACTACCCCTCTCAGTTCAGTATTGTCTGCAGATTTACTAAGCATTCCCTCTATTCCTTCATCCAAATCACTGAAAGATGTTGAAGAAAACAGGTCCCAGGACAGATCCTTGAGGCATTCCACTTGTCACTCTTCTCCAAGAGGATGAGGAACCATTAACAAGCACTCTTTGGGTGCAATCTGTCAACCAGTTACAGATCCACTTCACAGTAATAGGATCCAAACCACATTTTACCAACTTGTCAGCAAGAATATTATGTGGAACCTTATCAAAAGCCTTACTGAGATCATGATAAACTATGTCTCCAGCATTTCGTCCACCTCCCCTTCACGTCCTGCACACATACACCCTTGCTCTAGACTTAGGGATGCCAGGTCACCACCTTCCTGACCTGCCCCAGAAACTTCGGGAGTGGGACAAGTGGTGGGACATGGCGTCACGCAATGTGTCAATGTCATGACTGTGCAAGAACCCAGATGTGATGTCAGCGCATCAGCTGACACTCTGGAAAGAGCACTGGCTGATGCGCTGATGTCACGTCTGGGTTATGACTCCCCCAAGCTAGTGTGTATTGTGTGAAGCAATTTCTGGTCCCCACTGTTCTCTCACCTGTCTGGAGGCAAAGGTGGATGGGAGGACCCAGCTGGCAGGAGCATGTCTGCCATAAGTAGACAAATGGCTGGTCCGGACATGAAAAGAACATGGTATCAACTCTTTGCCCCTGCATTAAATCTGCTATTTGCTTCTTCCAAGGAAAACACAGTAGAACACGTTTTCCCCATGAAGTGCAAATTGCACTGGTTTGCTTTGGTAAAACAGCAGAGGGCACTGCACAACTGCTCTGAAATGCTGTGGTTTTAGTACAAGCTGCCATTTTATGACTGGCCCCCACTCACCAAGCCACCATTTTATAACTGGTAGCACCCAAAGTTCTTGGAAGAAATTTTAAATAGTTCCCAGAAAAATAAAGTCTTGTCCTCACCTGCTTTCACAGGAAAGACATAATAATCTTGACACAATGCTTCTTATTAATTGCTTTTATTTATTTTTAGCAAAGTGAAAGGACAGATCATTATACAAAGGACATGACTCAGTTTAAGATAGTGTCTGTTAAGGTGTTGACAGCCAAGACATTTACATAAATTATATTTCTGAACAGAACTGTTTGAAGACTTTGGCCAAATGTTTTAAAATGCCTGGTAGTGAAAAAAGTAGCTTACAGCATACGCTGCTTGCTACAGATATGATAGAATTGTTGTCGTTCCACACTGCATTGGATCCCATGATCTTTCCCTGCCTCTGCCTTTCCCCAGAAGCTTCCTAAGACACCCAAAAAGCTGACGTTGGAGGTCAAGGGAGCTTTGTAGACAAACTGCACAAGGCCTGGGGAGCTGCACTGACAGCCAACTCACAGTTGCAACCAGTGTTCCCTGTAAGCTGAGTTAGTGTGAGCTAGCTCACAGTTTTTTAGCCTCTGGCTCACACATTTTTGTCTTAGCTCAGGAAGGATGGCTCCAGAGCAAAGTAATTTATGCAGTAGCCAAATTGCTCGCTCAGAACTTTAATGCCAGCAGCTCACCAAGTAGAATTTTTTGCTCACAAGACTCCACAGCTTAGAGGGAGCCTTGGTTGCAACCCACGATGCAAACAATAAAACTGACTTGCCTTTCATTGTCTTAAACGTATGACTATGAAAGAACTTCAGAACAGAGCACCCTTCTGCTAGTTGATAACAAGTAAGATTCAATTCCTCAAGTCACCAGTATTTAAAAACAAAACAAAAACCCTAAATATAACATACTGACAGCTGAAAAAGTTCTCACGTATCATTGGCATTCACAGCACAGCATTTGAAATGACATATGTATGCATGCATATGAAAAATGTATTTGATTGTGTTATCTCTGCTTATGCTTAAAAAAATCTCTCTAGTTGAAGCTGATTATAAATACAGCAAGTTCATGGAACTGACTTTAGCAAGTTGTAGATGATGAGTTTTTGCGTGGATGGATGCATGCACAGGAATTACTCAAAAAGCCTGTAAACGGAAAATTTTACTTTGGAATTTGCTACTGATTATGGAAATTAAAGCTGAAATCAAACAACCTCAAGAAGATTAACTAGAATCCTAATGAATTGTATCCTACCACTGTTGAAATAAGCAAAGACCCTTTCTGCAGTAACTTTTCCAGAGGAAGAAGGTTCTTTGGGAGGAATGAATACCCAGCGTTTAGCTGTGTGCAATCCAGTACACAGCACTCTGGCAGAAGTGACCAATGCTTGGAAGTATTCCTTTTCAACTGGAAAAAAAGGAGACAAACCAATCCTTTTCAGGTTTACTCGGGGGCCACTGAATTTAGTGGTGCACAGCACTGGTGGCAGTGGTAGAACATGTTGTCAAGTTGCAGCCGACTTATGGCAACCCCTCATCGGGCAAGGCAAGAGACTAACAGAGGTGGTTTGTCACTGCCTGCCCCTGCAAAGCAACCCTGGACTTCCTTGGTAGTCTCCCATCTAAGTACTAACCAGGGTTGACCCTGCTTAACATCCAAGATTTGACAGGATCAGAAGTCTGGGCCATACAGGTCAGGGTATAGTACTAAGTATATTTTCCAAAGATCTTACTTTCTCTCAAAGTGTCCAGGCTGTGGCTTAAAGAAAGACAGGCCATATGATGTTTCCTTTGTACCATAAGAAAACTGAAATGTCACTTTCTCAGCACGTCCGAAGATATTAGGGAGCTTGAGCCCAAGTACCTATAAAGATATCAGAGCAATCACTGACAAATATACAGCTTTTCAAGAACACCTACATATTTAACCAACAGCTTTATCCAGCAAAACCATTCCATTCTTACCCCTCAGATTTTCAGCATTTGTTGTTCTGAACAAGAAAGTTTATAATCCCATTACAGACAGCACATCATTGACTACAAAAAAATATTTTAGACTATTTCTGCTCTATTCCACATTCTTAATCTAGACTACCACTCTGTTGTAGAAATTCCGCAAGTAACAAAATGCACCTGAACGCCGGTCATGTCATCAGCTTAATGACTGACTGCATAGTTGTATCATACTTGTAATTCACCTTGAGTCCCAGTGAGAAAGGAAGACTATACATGAAAATAAATAAAATTTGATTTTCAGTTACAGCAAAGATTGTTTTATTGTGAATTGTCTTCGTTGATTGCCATTCTAGTCTAGTCAGGCTGTTTCAAAACCTGATGTTGGAAGCCAGACCAAAAATCCTCTCCAAAATTTACTTACTGGTAGGTGAAATGGTCCATGGGGTCGCGAAGAGTCGGACTCGACTGTGCAACTGAACAACAACAAAGGTGAAATGACCTGACATGCTCCTGCAAATTTGGAAGTCCTTCCTAGTTTTGTTAATTGTTGAAAATGTCCTTGATATGTATAAACGGTCCCTCATTTTGATCTATCAAACAAGTGGCACTGTAATTCATAGGTTTTTGGTTTGTGTTGTATTGTCAGTAGGTATTCCCTGTGATTCGCTGTTTCTCTCTCTCTCTCTCTCTCTCTCTCTCATTGGTTATCTCAACTCATTTTCTCATTGTTATTCTTATATGCTACTCTAAATGTAAGGTTTCAGTCCCCTTAAAGTGCATAAATTCTGGGTCTCATGTGAATTATAAAAGAGGAGAGTTAATAGAGATCTTGACTGGAATATCTTTAGGAAGAAAGTAAGCATGACTGAACTTCTGCTCCATCCCCAAATTGGAAAAATCTCTGGCCCACCAGAGACTGCTTGGCTGTATGTCTGGGAAACAGCAAAACGTTTTCTTACAAGTATTCTTATTGAGAAGACTTCAAGGAAAAC